GCTCGTTATTTTTTGTTTTTTTTTCCAGGGCGTGCTGTCAGCAGGGGGAACGCCGCGCGCCTGGATTCCCCGATGGGAGCTCGCGGATTGGATTTTACAGTGCGACTGGGGCCACAGTCCGTTATCACCGCGTGATGTTCGCCCCGCGCGGATGGCGTTGCATGTCAGACGGGTAATCCCCATCGAGGGTTTGGTGCAGTTGGCATTTTCGCCATATCCTAAGATGGTTTTTTGTTATTACTTGGACGCCTCCTACTCCTTCTCACTCTTCTCCTGCCCTCTCCTCCTCATGCCCCGACTTACTCATATACAGACTGACTCACACTCAGACTAACTCATACACATATTCACACACAAATACCTATTCATACTCATACCTACTCATACTCAGACCTGCTCCGACTCAGACTTACTCATGCTGAGACTCACGCGCGCCCCGTTCGCGGTCGTTTCGTGGGGATGCCTCAAGCGGTTTGCTTGTTTTCTGTCCCAGCATATTTCGCTATCGGAGCTGATTTAGAGGATGTCTCGAGCGAGGCGCTAATTTTCACCCCCCTTACGGGAGCAGCCAATGGTTATCTCACGGTCCCCTTCGCGGCCGTTTTGTGGGGATGTCTCCAGCGGCTTGCCTGTTTTCTGTTCCAACATCCTTCGCTTTCGGAGCAGATTCGGAGGATGTCTAGAGCGAGGCGCTCATTCTCACGTCCCTAAGGAGCCGCCGAGGGGTTATCTCACGGTCCCGTTCGCGGCCGTTTTGTGGGGATGTCTCAAGCGGGTTTGCCTGTTAGTTGTCCCAACATCATTCGCTTCCGGAGCAGATTTGGAGGATGTCTCGAGCGAGGCGCTCATTGTCACCCCCCTAAGGGGATTCAAATATTCACTGCGTGGGGCTCCCCATATGCGCATTTATTCCCATGGACCTGTCCGCCGTGAGAATCTAGGTGCAAAAACTTTCGAGTATAAACGGGTTTCAATTGTGACGGTCTGGTCATGAATCTAACTGAGAATCAATTGGAGTGTGAATGAGCCTCAGTAGTACGAGCGCGTCTCTGCGCATGACCCTGGGTCCTCCTGGGGCCTCCTGGGGCCTCCTGGGGACCTACTGGGGCTTCTTGGGGCCTCCAGGAGCCTCTTTGGGCCCCCTGGGGCCTCCTGGGACCTCCTAGGGAGGATTCGTGCCCGAGGAGAGGCCCAATCTATAGCAACAGTCGCACATAAAACATTGCGACTTGGAGCCGCAGAAAAAAGGGGCAATCTATAGGAACACGCGTACAACACCAAGGAGTCGTGCCCTAGGAGAGGCCCTATAGGAACATAAGTACACAGGATATGGACCATCTATAAAAACATACGTATAACATCAAGGATTCGTGCCCCAGGTGAGGCCCAATATATGACAGCATACGTAAAACACATGGGATTGGACCCACCCCTGTTGCCTTCTGAGGCCTCCTGCTCCTGGGGCCTCTCGGGGCCTCCTGTTGCCCTCGGGAGACCTCCTGGCGCTTCCTCTGGCCTCCTGGGGCCTCCTGTGGCTTCCTGAAGCCTCCAGGAGCTTCCTGGGGCCTCCTAGAGCCTCTTGGGGCATCCTGTGGCCTCTTGGGTCTTTCTGTGGCATCCTGATTCATCCTGGGACCTCATGTGGTCTCCTGGGGCCTCTTGGAACCTGTTGGAGCCTCCTGTGGCATCCCCAGGAAAACCAGCGCCCACGAGTCTGGCCACCGATCGAGACATCCTCAAAATCTGGCCCACCTGGGGGGGTGAAATGGAGCGCCTCGCTCGAGACATCCTCCAAATCTACTCCGAGAGCGAAGGATGCTGGGACAGAAAGCAAGCACGACGCTTGAGACATCCCCACAAAACGGTTGCGAACGGGACCGTGAGAGAACCATTGGCGGCTCCCCTTAGGGTGGTGAAAATGAGCGACCCCACCAGTCCTCCTGCCAAGGGAACCTGGCTGTGGTTTTCGGCGACGCACCAGCGCCCTTGGCTAACAGCGTTGCAACGCACGCGCTGCATTACGCGGAAGTAGTAAGATGATATGTTTCTGACATGATGCGTGGGCGCGCACGGCGCGGGCCTACATGGCGCGTCAAAGGCGCCTGACACACGCCCGCGATACTCTTCACGACCGAAATCGGAAAATTAGCTCCGGCGGCGCACATGCGGTGGGACACGCGTGCGTTCGGCATCACCCGCGCGAGGTGGCTAACAATTTCGCGGCGTTGCGCTAAAAATGCCATTGTGCCCAACATCGTTTCGAAGCGCGCTGCGGTGCGCCGCGCAAGCGCGCGTGGACTGCGGCCTGCATGCGGCCCGCGCACTAGTACGAGCGATTGAATCTGAAAGGGCAAGGCGCGGCACGTGCGCCATGAAAACGCGGCACACGGCAGAAGCAGTTACGAGAAGGAAACTCGCGCGATTCGCGTGCCTCCGTCGACCGAAATCGCTAAATCAGGGCAAGCGATCGGCGACGACCGCGTTTGACGCCACCAATAAATACATGAAAAAATGCAAGAACAAATTTGTCGAGGCCCTCGTTTTGTTTCCTGGTGGGCGCAACACCTGATATATGCCCTTTGCATCTCTGCTCTTTGACTCCTCTGCTCTGGCCTGGGCTTGGATGTATTCCGACCGCTCCGCGGACCTTCCGAACATCATAGGTACTAACACCTTACGGGTCGGCGAGGTGCTCTCGGAGGGCTTCCAGGTCCAGGAGGTCATCGGGGTTCAGACCATCCTAGATGAGGCCCCCTCGAACAAGATAGAGCAGTACAAATTTGGGGTGGCTAACGTCTTAACGCTTCAGGGCAACAGCAAGTATAAAGGGTCCCGGCGGAAAGCTCCCCAAGGTGCTCGTCTCTTGAAGGTTATCGGCCTGAATGCCCCTGGGAGAATCACGGCCCTTGCTCGTCAGTTTTCTACTGCTAAATATCACTTCCTAGGGGTCCTGGAAACTCGACTACAGTCTGCTTTGCCTAAGAGGGTTGGTGACTACATGATGTACTACTCCAAGTGTGCTGATAACGGCGCTGATGGAGTTGCTATCTGGATTAACTGTGAGTTGCCTGTGAAGGGTGTCAAGCCTGGCCGACATCACGTTGCCCAGCTTTATGCTGATACGAGTCGGCTCTTATTGCGTTTTCATGTGCCTGGCCTGCATCTATTGCTTGTCGCTGCTCATGCCCCTCACTGTGCTCGGAAGGATGTTTGTTCAGTTGAAACGTGGTGGTTGGACACGCAGAGGTTAGTGAGCCAGCACTTAGTACCAGGAGTGCAGCCCGTATTTATGTTGGACGCTAATGCTGAAGTTGGCTCCCACTGCTCGGCACATATTGGGGATGTGGAGGCTGTGGAGGAGAATTTCTCGGGTAAGTGTATGCGAAGCTTGTGCCATAGGTTCCAAGTGGTTGCTCCCTCTACCTTCCTGCCTGCCCCGATCGACGACACACACAATACACACGTTCACACTGATGGTAAGACCTGTAAGCGGTTGGACTACAAATTACTCCCCCAAGACTGGTTCTCGCTGGTGTCGCGTGCACGGGTTGATCGAACGGTGGACCTCGCCAACGCTGTGGAGGACCACAGCCCTACCTTTGTCGAAGTCGGTGTTCCGTCTGGCTCTCTTGCGCAGTCTCAGTACAGGTGGCCGCTGTTGCGAGTTCAGCCAGAGCGTCTCCAGGATCCAGCGATCCGAGAGGCATTTGCTCGGCATGCGGCTCAGTTTCAAGTGCCTGACTGGAATGAATCAGCGACGGCGCACTGTGCACGCGTGGATGCCCACCTCGTTGCCTTTGCCATGGAACACCTGATGCCTGAGGACCCCCACCGGCAGGACTGGGTAAGTGAAAGGACCCTTGAACTCATAGAGTTGCGTAAATATCTGCGTGCCCTACATCGTGGTTGGCAGCGAAAGGCTCCGAAGGTCCTCCTGCAGGTTGTCTTCCAATCATGGGCTTCTATGGGACACCAAGAGCACATGGGGATATGGGGGCGTCTTAGGATCCGTAGCGGGTCCAACCAGATCAATGGTCTGCGATTTCGTCAGCAACTCTGGAGGCTCTTAGAGGACTATCATGACCATCTTCAGGTGCTTCGAAGTGCTGCCAGGTGCCACCTCCCAGAAGGACAGCGCTTTGCGAGGATACCTGACTGGGAATTCCTGATGACCATGTGCATTTCATTCGCTCGCCTCCCTTCGGTCAACAGTGATCTACCTTGTCCTCGGGAGCAGCTGGGTTTATATAGACGCTGGTGTGGGCTGATGAAGGCCATGCCTAGCAACATTACCTTTCTGACGTCGCGGCTCATTAGCTGGTCGTGTGACATGGACAGGGCTGACAAGATGGAACGGGTGTCCAGGGATATCTCTAGCTCGTTTCTCCAGAAGGAGTTCAGGAAGGCGCTCGGGCAGCTTAGATCCTTGGGTATAGGTTCTGCGAAGAAGAGGCCCTCTAGTCAGTCAGCTCAGGTCCTCTTGAAGGATGAGACGCCAGCCCTGACGCCCACGGCCTGCCGTGAGCGTTGGCTGGAGCACTTTGCGGAACAGGAGCTTGGCTTTCGGATACCTGCCCACAGTCTACTGCAGTTCGTAGGAGAATCGCGTGCGCCGCTTGCTTCACTGGACCTGTCTGCTGCCCGGAGTCTGCCGACACTTGCCATGTTTGAACAGCAGATGCTGAAGACCTCCAGTACCTGTGCCAACGGTCTGGATTGTGTCCCCGGGGCTCTACTCAAGACATGCGCAAAGGAATGTGCTCGACTCTACTTCCCCCTAGTGATGAAGTACATGCTGTGTCTACATGAGCCTCTACAATGGAAAAGCTCACGGCTAGCTGACTTGTACAAGGGTCGGGGTGCCCCTAACAAGTGTGTGTCTTGCAGGTCTGTGGCCATAGGTTCGCAGGTGGGTAAGCGTGCTCATGCCCTCGTTGCTGGACGTCTTCAGCCTTTTCTAGACGATTTTGCCCCTGAGTCACAGTGTGGAGGTATCAGAGGGCGCGGCACGGACTTTGCTGTGCACATGGTTCGATTGCTGCAGGAGCACTCGCGTATCCGATCGGAGTCGATGTCGACGCTTTTCGTGGACCTGGAGGCCGCGTTCCATCATGCTATTCGTGAGATTCTCATTCGGTTCGAAGGGGGGGATACTATCTCTGATGAGCGTATTGCTCAGCTGCTGCATGCCTCTGGTCTTCCGCCATATTGCATGGATCTGCTTGCTGCCGAACTTGCATGGCCGCCGTTATTAGAGGAGCTGGAGGTTCCTGCCCATTTGCAACGTGTTCTCTCTGAGACGTTAACGGGCACCTGGGCTACTACCCAAGGGTCAGGCTCTGTCGCGATCATGACCACAGGCACCAGGCCAGGCAATACTCTAGCTGCGCAACTCTTCCTCTTCATCGTGTCCAGGAGCATTCGTCGCACCCAGGAGCTGATCCAGAGTGAGGGCCTACACAAGGAGTTCATCGTGCCGTCGACCAGGACTCTCGACCCCCTCGCTCAATGCGATGCCCAGGTTTCGGCTAACGATGTAGAGTACAGCGACGACAGCCTGTTCAATGCTTGGGGGCCTGCTTGTGCTATTATTGCTCGCACTCGTGCTCTTATGGCTATTGTTGCTGACTCCTTCACCCCGCTGGGCCTCAAGCTTAACGCGGGTCCCACAAAGAGCGCCCTCATGGTCACCTTCAGAGGCCCTGGGTCTGTTACGGCCCGAAAGCAGTTCTGGATCGAGGAGGAGGGTAAGGTTTCTATCCCGCCTACTGGCACGTTTCCCAAGGGGCTTACTCTGGAAGCGGTCCACACGTACAAGCATTTGGGCGGGATGGTTTCTGACAAGCAGGACCTGCCCCCGGAGCTGGCCTATCGTGCGTCGTCGACGACGTCGTCGCTTCAGGCCCTTCGTCAGGTGGTCTTTCGCAACCAGCAGCTGTCTCGTCAGCATAAGCTCCAGCTCGCAGATGTGCTGATCATGTCGGGCCGGCTGTACAATGCTGCAACTTGGCCCCAGCCGACGACGGCACAGTTCAATCGGTACCGCGCTGGCATCGTGCGGATTTATCGGTCTGCTATTGGGCGGCCAGCTTATGATCAGGAGGCTGTTCCCGATACGACCGTGCTTGCTGCCGTCGTGAGATCTGATGTCGATATTCTGCTAAGATGGCATCGTCTCCGTTATCTCAGTCGGTTTTATAGGTATGCTCCCAGGGCTCTCTTTGGGCTTATTCGGGCCACTGCGGAACCCAAGCACTCCTGGTTCAACCTAGTCTTGGACGATTCGAGGTGGCTTCGCACTCGGGTTTCCAGGCTTCGTGCATTTCCCAGTCCGTTCTCGGAGTTCGGGGCTTGGGAGAAGGAGATTCTTGGGCGTGGACAGCACTGGGCTAACCTGGTTCGATCAGGGGTTGAGGCACACATCCGTTGGGCTTGCCGTATTGAAGACGCTCGAGCTCGCACGCAGATATTTGTTCAGCATGCTGCGCGTATTGGTGTGCCACCAGATCTATCTCTGACGCCGGCACCTGTGCCTGTTGTGCATCGCTGTCCTTTCTGTGAGCTCGAGTCGGCCAAGTGCGCTGCGGTGAAGACGCATATTGTTCGGCTTCATTACCAGCAGCGCTCGGTCGAGGCCAGATATGTTCACAGCCCTACTTGCCCCGTCTGTCTAGTTCGGTTCAGCACGGTTGAGCTCTATATCGACCACCTTGCGTATGGGAACCCGAATTGCTACATCACGGTCCTCTCCCATATGGTCCCTGAGGCTCCTGAGGTTCTAGAGGTGGTTCGGGCCCAGGAGGCCTCTGACAGGAAAGCTGCTCGGAAGAAAGGGGCTATGAGACGGGGGGCCTGGCTTCCTGCTTATCGTGTTCCTGGGCCTCGTAACGTTCCTCAGCAGTCGTTTCTTCCTTATCGGGATGCCTGGGAAGTTTTCCGCTCCATGGCCTACCAGTTCGAAGATGTACCTGAGCCCCTCTTTGAACCCCAAGAAATGGACCCCCAATATGAGGCCCTGCCAGAAGATGAACATCAGTTTGAACCGCTTGCGTATGTTGGCCCTTCTGCCGAGCATTGTCCTCGGCCGCTGCAATATGCTGTACTTGCTTTCTTCACCTGTTCTCAGGCGCTAGACGTGCTGGAGATGTTCAGGACGAGCTTGAGAGAGTGTTGGTTCCGGGCCCGGTGACTATCATCATCATATCGTGTGATGTGGCCTGTGACGCCGTGAATGGGGACTTGACCAGGGCCGACATTGTTTCAAAATGGGATCAGCTCTTGAGAACAGGTCGGGCTATAGGTTTGATCGGCGGCCCTCCCTGCGAGACATGGTCAGCAGCGAGGTGGCAGGAGCTCAGAGTTGCTGACCGTTATCGTCCACCTGCTCCCCTCCGCACTCTCAAACATCGCTGGGGTAGGCCTGATGTCAGTCTCCGTCAGCATCAACAGCTCTCCATCGACTCTCAGCTCCTGCTCAGCCAGCACCAGTTGATGCTGACCTGCCTGGAGGTAGGAGCCTGCGCACTGAAAGAGCACCCTGAGGTTGCTCACTGGGAAGAAAGGGCGCCCAGTTCGTGGCAGTCTGCCACTTCGTGTGCTCTGAGTGCTGCTCCCCCCTCCCGCATGGTCTCATTTGACCAATGTGTTTTCGGCCAAGTGAGCAAGGCCCCGACTACGTTTCTGTGTATTCGGTTGAGTTCCCTCGTGGAGGACATTCTGAGGCAAGGAAAAGGGGGAAGGTGCCCACACCCGAAGAAGACCCACACCACCCTCCTCGGCATTGACCCGTCCACAGGAAAATGGCGTACGGCTCCCAAGAAAAGGTACCCTCAGGACCTATGCGCTGCCATGGCCAGGGCTGTTGCCCAATATGTGGAAGAGGCTTTCGCATTATGTGATCCCGATGATCTTGATTCTAGTGACCTTCCCGACGAGCTGAGTGCCTTCTTCCAGGCTCTTGATTTATATGCTGCAGACACCGCGGAAGGGCAGGCTGATATAGCTCTTGATTTTGCTGGTTTCAGATCGAAGGGGCCCCGGGACACCCGTTTCGACCGCCCCCTTGAGGGTGTTGCCCCTCCCCCACTGGCGAGCCCTCAGCAGGCTCCGGATGTTGGTTCGGCTGGTGGTGTGGCTGAGGAGCCGGAACCCTGGCCTGAGGAGGAGGAGGACCCGTGGGCGGAAGAGGGCATGCTCCAGTCTCGGGAGGCGGCTGGTGTCCCGTGGGATCCCCAACCCCCTCCTCCTCCTCCTCCTCCTCCTCCCCCTCCCGCCCGAGTGGAGCTCAGTGACGAGCTTCGACGCCAGATCCAGGCTCGGCGGGATCAAGCTCGTTTCCGCCGAGCTGTTCGACGCTCGCTTCCTGCAGGAGGCGTCTTCTCTTCTGCTGATGCTTGTGCGCCTCCTCTCCCCATGGAGCGTGAGAGACAGGCGCTACGAGCGCACTCCCTCCTCTGCAGTGCTGCAGGGTGCGGACCAGGCGCGGTGGGGTAGGGACCCCACCTTTTCTTTTTCCTGTGATGAATTGTGTCTTTCTTGCATTGTGCTTGATTGCCTTTATATCGGTGTTGTAGGCTGACCATGAGCCTCAGAGTCCAGTCCAGTCCAGTCCAGTCCAGTCCAGTCCAGTCCAGTCCAGTCCAGTCCTCCTCCTCCTCCTCCTCCTCCTCCTCCTCCTCCTCCTCCTCCTCCTCCTCCTCCTCCTCCTCCTCCCCTTCCTCCTCCTCCTCCTCCTCATCTTCCACGGCCTCCGTCTCCGCCCACTTCGTCGCCGACGTCGTGGTCCTCTTCAGGGTCGGCGGCACCGGCCGTCGGGCCTTCGCAATACAGTCGTGGCTGATTGGAGAGGACGCGCGAGAGGACACAAGACCCTTTCCGAGCGCCACGTTACAGGCATGGGTCGCGATTCACAAGACGCAAGGGCACCCTTGATTTGGCAGGGTCGACCTGCTCATCCGCCTCGACTGTGTAGTCGGTTAGCGAATCAGCTCGTATACCTGGTCTCCCAGCGACTCCTGGCGCAGGAGGCGCGAATGCACCGAGGGACGCGCCCGGCGGAGGGGCCGACACCAGCTGCCAGCGGCAAATGTCGTATCCCTCCCTTTCCTAATCCCCCCTTTCGTCCGCCCCGATCTTAGAGGGAGTAGGGGCAACAGTATCAAATGAGCGACGATCAAAAAAAGGAGTCTTACGCGAGATGGCATAGCGACCCTACGCCGCGGCTTACGCGGGTCGCCAGCGCGGAACGCCAAATTGGAGACGAGGGCGCTTACGCGCGAGCCTACGCGGGCAGCTTACGCGCCAATGTCGGCGCAGGCGACCCCGTTTCTCTGCGCCGCTCAAATGAATCCAAAAGCACGGCGCAGCATAGCGCTCAGCAGCCAACTGCGGCCTTCGCTGCTGCCTGGATGTTGTACTGAAGTGCGGGAATGGCTGGGACGCTCCCTCGCGCATCATACTCTGCATTGAGCTTGTGCTGCTTAGTGGAGGGAGCAGGAGCACGGAATGGGGCGGAGGAACAGGAAGTCCCAGCAGCCCTCTGGGCGTCGGTGGTCTAGTGAGCTTCCTCTCCCACCCCTCCTTCTTCCCCTTCGGGGAGGGGTTTACCCCTCCCCCATACCCCCTCCCCATGGACCTGGACAGGGGGGTTTCGCGAGGTGTCGGAGCGTCCAAGACGGCCTCGGCGAGGAGGCCAATTTCTGGACGGCTCTCGGCGGCGCCGCTCGACCCCAGCCTCCGACGCCGCGACTGGGTTGCTAGGGCTCCCAACTTCGCGCTTCGCGCTCCGCGAAGCGCGAAGCGCGAATAACTTCGCGCCCTCGCGCCGCCCCCCCAAAGGGAGAAAAGGAGGACGAGGAGGAGGGGGGAGAAAGAACGAGGACCGCGAAGCGCGAAGCGCGAATAACTTCGCGCCCTCGTGGGAGCCCTTGGGGTTGCCACGTGGAGGTTTGAACCGTTCTCCCAGGCGCGGCGCTTCCTCCCGCGTCGGTCCTCGATGGCCGATGCCGCTGCTCCCCAGACCACCCCCGGGGTGCGTTCTTGCCAGGATAAAGGGGCCCCAGGACACACAAATGAATACACACTCATAAAGATATCCCCCATACTTTCCCATATTTTGAAGGTTTTCGTCTTCCCCCCCACTGCCCATATGTTCCCATATGTTCTGGGGAATCGACGATTAAGTGTGTCTGTGTGTTGTTTCCCCTCCTGACAGAATCCCGGGGGTGGGCAAGCCGTGGTGACGAGGGCTCTCCGGGACGGGCAGCGGCCTCGGCATACCTGCTCCTCCTGGGCCCGTCGGGGAATCGAGGCACGAGGGCCGCAGAAGATCGCGGAAGCCTTGGCCCGCTTGGCAGAGGGGCTGACCAGCATCGTCTGCGTCGGCTCTTTCTGCATAGATTTCTCTCTGGCGAGGACTGGAGTTTGATCCTCGCCGGCAGCTTCCTCGTTGGCTTGGTTTCCTTCGGGGTAGGCCAGACACATCGCTAATACTTGCGGAAGCTTTGGCCCGCATCGTCAAGTCTCTGGGCCCCGGGCAGCCTCCCAGGGGCGACCAGAGGCCTCTGC